TGATTGGTGCACAAGGCAGGGAAACTGTGGTCTTAGTGTTTGTGGGGCTAACGGAATAGTTGTCACTGGTTTGAAACATTTTTTCGTCCTTATTCAAATAGCGTCATGACCAAGAACCTTGTGGCCTGTCTGAGGTCGTTACAAGGTGGGCTGTATGCTTTTGGAAGTCCCAGAATTCCAGACGTGCCCGCAAGCCGCAAGCCCAAACAATTACAAGCCTTGGTAACTACAAGAGCCCAAATTTGAAGTTTCTTTCTGCCTGAAATGAAAGAAGGTTAGGGTCGAGGACGTTCATTTTTGCGGTGCTCTTGCCAGGAAAGTCTACATCCCCGAGGCAAGCGGGCATGAGTGATGAAAGTTGTTATTTTGCCGCTCTCAAGCATTTTGATCCAAGCACAGTATTGCGGGCATTGGGCATTGCAAACCAGGCTAGTGCGAAAGGTGTTTCTACAGGGTCAGCTTCACTGGGGACATCCTTCAAAACTGGAGGTCTTTGAGGGAGAGTTTTCAGGGCCGGTGCGGCCACGTCATCTTTGTGACTTTGGTCTTGGATAATGTTAAGTGGGAGGGTACAAACGCCTAACTTTAAAGCCAAACCCCTCCAGCCGTGATGCCATAACCAGATGCTTACCAAGACTGTGAAGCCCAGGTTCCAGTTGGATTGGGCTCGCTTTAGATGGGCTGAGCCTGATTCCATCCATAACTTGCTGTGGCTTTTGTAGCTGAGAATCTTTTCTTTGGGTGCTGGATTTAGGTGTACGGGGATTGCAGAATGAACGCAGAGCAGGTTGCTGTACCTGAAGCCTGGAGCCCTTAACTGCAGGCTTCGGGATTCCAGGGCTTGGGCATATGGCTTGTAGGATGCAAGGACGGCTTTGGGACTGACATCCCCTTATGCAACTGTAGCGTGCCCTGCAGAACTGTACTTGAAGTCCATGTTCCAAGCAAGTTGCCCCCCAAAGAAGGTGTAGGAGGATCTCCAGTGGGAAGTAATTATTAACTTTCTGAAGAAGGTCAGCGTGGAAAAGGGTTGTGTAATGGCTATGATTTGGGCTCTGTTGAGATTGTGGGTTTAGGTCTTAGGGTTTAGGGTTTTAGGTATTGGGTGAGAGTGGGGTTTAACACATGGTGTGGGTCTTTGGCGTCTATGGTGTGAGATGGGGCTAACCTGGGCCATGCCCTTCGCCAGCTATTGAACCTCAACCTCCAAACTTTTAACCTTAAAGAAAGGGCCATAAGGCTGAGAAATCCTAATCATTGAGGAGTAGTCCAAATCGTTGTTTGTGACATGTAGGGAACATTAGAAACGTTTAGTTATAGTTCGCATTTTCCCCCCTTGTTGTACAAGGGAACCTGAGTAACAAAAAATCGGGGGCCGAGCAAGTATCATCTATTTTAACTAAAGCCCTCAAACTTCTGCATTCAACCTGACCCAAAACCCAAAACCTCTTGCAGTTTATGAAGGTTTGCCAGTCTCCTCAAAGCAGTCAGGATAATCCCCATATAACTGTACATAACCCTATGTAACCTTACGGTAACCCCTCATCCACGTAAAAAAACCCTAAGCCCTAAACCCATAACACTCGTGTACTGCATGTGGATCTTGGTAGAAGGCGAAGCCCAAGAAGAAGGCACGGCCTCCCGTTGCTTTGAAGGGTGGGTTTAGGGTTTAGGGTTTAAAGCCCAGGTTTGGGTCAAATGAGCTATAAAGGTGGGTTTAGGGTTTAAGGTTAAGGGTTTTGCGTCTAAACTCCTTAAACGCGGTGGTAAACGGGATTATGTAGAGGAGTAGTATAAGGGCTATTGAGGGGGATACTAGGAGTTTAGAGCTCAAATATTGGGGTTATCCAGGGGTTATATTGGGGTTATAGAGGGTTTACGTCGTAGGCTTATATGCGTCCGCGCTCCGTGTTCCCAGTTCCCCCATGTATGGTATAGTCTGCATCTGGGGATGAGTACATATTTATCATCCCGAGGGACCATGAACTCCCCGTAGAACTGTCTATGAACCCGATAAAAACCCTCATCACAGGACGCAGCACAGAGCGACAGGAGCAAAGGGGGGGTACCTCGATAGACCCCCAATACAATCTTGTGAAACCTTTCTAAGCCCTCTACGAACCCTCGAGAAAATTTTTAAACCTTTCATAAACCCTCCAAAAAGCCTATGAGCTCTTGGTAAATCTTCTGTAAAAACTCTATAAAATGTGTGTAAGCCCTCTACAGGAGGTGTATAACATTGATTAAAACCATCATAAACCGTCTAGTCACCTTGTCAGAGACCCTCTGGAGCCCTTCCATGTTCGCTACAAAAGCCATGAACCCTTTTTAACCTTCTGTTTGCCCATTTTGATTTGTGCAAGATTTCCGCCATGAACAGCCCCAAGCTGTAACCCCAAACCCTACATGGTAGTTTCCCAAAAAAAGGGAACCCCGATATAGACCACTACATACTATACTCCTTTTTATGGGGATTCTTAAAACGGTACCCCTAATTTTGGGAAACCCCCACATCCCAAAGCCTTAAACATCAGGCGCATGCATTCAATCACTGCACTGTCGGCTCTGCAGGTGGCACCGACGCCGCAACAACGGCAGCAGAAGAAGAAGGTGGAAGTAATAGTATTCTCAGTAGAGCTACTACTACTACTACTACTGCTGCTGCTGCTGCTACTACTGCTACTATTGCTACTACTACTACTACTACTACTACCACCACCACTACCGGGTGACAGCCTACTCCAACAACTGCTACTTCTTCTTCAATGTCCCCAAGGTTGATTTAGTCAGGATTTTTGGTTTTCCAAGTGGATGATCAACCCCACTGCAATCTGAGAGTACCCCCCCCCCCCGTTTAGGTTTCGTTTCTGATCCCTGGTTCTTGATGAGGGCCAGCTCCAAGACAATGATTGCTTTCCAAGGTTCATGCACTCCGAAAACAAGCCCAGAAAAATAACAATTCTTTGAAACGGGGCGGGGTTATGGTGGGGAGATCGGGGCTTAAGGTGGGACATGAGTTCATGAGCATTGAACCAAGAAAACCTCCAGGTGGGTTGTTTTCAGGTGGATACCCTTAAAGGAGGCCTATGCGAGCCTTATATGAGCCTTATATGGGGGAGGCCACCTGTAAACCACCTGAGGTTGTCCTTCATCCAAACAGTGATGGACTTATGCAGCGGTTTTAAGCGTAGACCTTGACACCCCAGTTACGGTTGGCGGAGGGTCTTGGGGCCCTGGGCCCACAGGTTGGCTGGTCTAGGCGCCAGGCTTTTGCAAGATGTTGCGGGGCTTTTTCTTTTCCCTTGGAAATTGTTGTGACGACCTGGGGTCTTTAAAGGTCATTGGGCTAGAATCTAGAATTCTGCCATAGAACTAGCAGACACTGAGCTGCAACACCACCCCCCCGCCCCCAGCTTTCCAAGTCTCTGTGGTTTCCGTAAGCTGCCTGTATCCTTTTCTGCTTGGGGAATTTAAGGTTGAGGGTTTGCGTCGAAGAAAGCAAGAGACACCGGATCTTTTTGCCCTGAGACCTCCCAGCAGTGATGAGAAGAGACTTCGTAATCCCCTCCCCCAATCTAAACCCTAAATCCTACCCCCCCAAGACTAAATTGTCTCATTGCGATACAATAAAATTCTTTTGGGAATATCTAGCATTTGAGAAGTTGGGGTGGGTTTTGATTAGCAAGAATGGTGATGCCAATGCAGGTGCCAACCGTAGTCTGCGAGTTCCTTTAAACAATTCTTTACTTGTAGCTCTGACATGTATATAGGTAGTTGTCGAAATTAGGGTTCTTTTTTGGGTACCCAAATATTAGGTGCCGTATTATAATAGGAACCCAAAAAGGGACCATAATTTTGACAGCCACCCATATAGCTAAGAACAAGCTGAAGCATACTTTCTGCCTGGATTCCAAGGAAGTTAGAGTAGTGCCCTAGTGGTGGTTGCGTGCTCCGGGCTTGGGTATCTGGAGAGTAAAGAAGGACACATAGACATAGGGTTCAGAGCTTGCGGTATCTCCAGAAAGATATCTTGAAAAAGCAAAGCATCTTCAAAGCCCTTGCGTTTAGGGTTTAGGGTTTAGGGTTTCTTCTTGACAATCTTACACCCCTAAATGCGAGTTCCCCCAGAACAAGTGATGTGCACATAGAAGTGCTTAGTGCTGTTCTCTAAGTATCCCGCTTATCCATCTGCACTGTTGATGGAGGACATCTTTTACCAGATAAGATCCACAATATACTGTACTTCCGAGGGTCCTATAGTGTATAAGGTATCTAGGGTGCTGCAAGATTCCCTCCATCCGCAGTAGCTTCTCAAACAGGAGGAGGTGATCGTCTTCGAGGAGCCGCTTTCGGTGGCTGTAGGCCCTTTGGCCGGACATAATTCAGTTTGCTAAATGTGATGGCTAATCCCAGGAAATTACGGAGATGTGCGATTTTAGGGCTTCTTCGAGGGGCATCAGGGACCTGCAGAGGATTGAAATGGGTCTGGGGTTTTCGGTGGAATTTGTCACCTCAGGGCCCTTGGGGCAGAGTATAAGCTTCAAAAATCAAAGTCTTAGGTTTTACATTTACACCCGGGATTGATGCAGCACCAGGGACCTGCAATTGGGACAATTGCAAAGACGCTAGGCGGGCACAATCTAAAAGGCCCACCCAATTGAGAGGGATAGGTCGCATAGGAGCTGACTCTTACTCATGCACCTGAAACATGTACCCTAAACCCTAACTCCTAAACCCTGCATGTACAGGAACGATTGGGAGGAAACCGCGGGAGCAATCCAAAACCATTGTTCAGCGATGAGGATAGTAAAAAGGCAGCAAGAGCAATTGCAAAAGGAAGAGGAAGTGACCAAAAATGTCGAGTGTTCACCTTTAACTCTTTAGATATAAGGACGTTGTTGTTGTTGTTGTTGTTGTTGTTGTTGTTGTTGTTGTTGAAAATGACGACAGCCTGAAGCACGAAGCCGGCTAGACGCCACCGCAAGAAATGAAGGCGATGATCAGCAGGTAGCGCTGCCATGCTTGCCCGACCGCCTCTTCGCCCTCAAAGCCGCCACAAAGCTGACGAACTCGGTGTGGAAGCCCTCAGTGAGCTCAGCCTGCCTGACCACCGCCACTTGCGCCCAACGGCGCCTTTGTTCCGCAGCAAGCGCGGCGGCAGCAACTCCCTCCTTGAAAGGCGCCAGCAACTGCGTGGCCCTGGCATCAGCAGCCGCATTGAGGCCCCTGCAAAGCTCGCTGGAGCCCCAGCCTTCACAGGAGCAACGCTTGCCATGGGAAGGAATCCAGCAAGCGCTCATCCATTCAGCAGCCTCAGCGATGACCTGCCAAATCAAGAATGGATCGCCCTTGTCACATGCGGCCGCGCCGCCACGCAGCCTGCCGGCCACAGCCTGGTTGGCAATCAGGATCCGAAGGCGCCTGCCACAAAGCAGCAGTGCACTCGCCAAGACGAAAACAGCAGTGCGCTCGCCCTCAGCAGCAGTCTGCTCCGGGCCAGTCACGAGCCCACCAAAAGTAGCGTTCTCAAATGCCACAGCCCAGGACGCTCTTTGCCAGGGTTCAGCGCCCCGTGCAATCAAGCAGCCTCCATCAGTAGCCACTGGTCCAAAGTGGCAAGGAAGCGAGCCACCTCCTCGATGCCAGAGCTGTAGTCAGCGACCCCCCAGCAAGGGAGAGCAGGGCACTGAGGGAGCAACAGCCTTCTCTCAAGCGCGGTGCGCATCTCCAGCTGCCACGGAGCGGACGGACACTCAAAGGTAAGGTGCGTCCGCGTGGGGCCAGGGTGCCCACAAGTACAGAGCCGCAAGGTGCAGTCCTCAGGAGCCTCCACGATGTGCCTGGCGTCCGATGCACCTCCCACCATGACTCGCGCAAAGTAACCCTCCACCACAGCCGCTAGCGCCTTGTGGTGCGCGAGGTCGAAGTCGTGGGTGACGCCGCCCTCCTGCTTGGCCTTCGGGTCCGCCTTGAAGAGCTTGAGCGCACCATCTCGGCGAAGGAGCCTGCGAAGGGCAGCCGCGCTGAGTGTGCCCGCCACGAACGTGCCCTGCCTGCAAGTCCAGAGGTCGCCATCACGCTGCCAGCCAAAGTAGGAGAAAGCCGACCGAGTGTTCGGCGCTTCACGAGGGTGACGACCAAGTAGAAGCCGGCGGTGCTCCTGCAAAACAGTGGCCTCCGCGTTGACGTAGTCCGGGAAGAACTGAAGTCCCACCAAAGTTGTCCAGGCCAAAGCACGAGAGCGTCCGCGGGGTATGGCGCCCCCCCAAACAGCCCTCTCTATGGCGCCCGCCCACCTGGCCGTGAGCCTCTTGAGTTGACGGATCCACGGTGCACACCAGCGGAACAGCGGGATGACGAGCCTCGCCAGAAGTGCCCTCCTGATGGAGTAGGACTGTCCACACAGTTGGATGCGTTTGCAGCGTCCCTCAAGCTTGGTAGTAATGCCAGAGGTGGCCACAGGCTGCGCCCTGGTGACGTTGTAGGGGACGCCCAGCAGCTTGAAGGTGACCTGCGGGATGCCGACAACCTCAGCCACAGCCATGAGCTCCTCCCTGACGCACTGCGTGGTCCCGAAGCTCTCAAGTTTGTCAGGGTGAAGGCTGAAGCCCAGAGCTTCGTCAGCAGAGGCTCCCGCCTGCATGGCTGCATGAACAGCCCTCGCCGCGCCGCGCCTCTGCCGGGTCCAGATGGTACGATCATCGAGGTAGACGGCCAAGTTGCAGTGCGTGTCAGCATCCTTGACCCGAACCAGCCATACGGCCATCATGGCGTTCAAGCAAAGGGGGCTGAAAGGACAGCCCTGCAGTAAGGCCGCTGCCCCAACCACAGGGTTCCTTGCAAACATGCCATCGACCGAGAGCCAGCGGGTGTGCGCCTCGTAGAAGCGGCCGATGACGTCCAGCATATTCTCCGGGGCGCCGAGTGCCCGCAGACAGAGCACAGCAAGCTTGGGGTCGGCGGTGTCGAAGCACTTCCTGACGTCTGCCGTGCAACCAGCCAAAGGTCCGCCGGCCTGTTGAACGAAAAGAGCGTGCGTGAGCTTGAAGTGGATGTCCTCAATGCCACGTTCGGGAAGGCCACCGTAGAGCTCGTGCGGGAAACCGGTCTTGATCCAGCCGGTCTTGATCCAGCCATTCAACTGTTGAACCACTGCAGTAGCACCAAGCCTCCATGCCAGGGCAGCAATGGCGAGCGGTCGTTGGCCTCCCTCCTCCTTTGGAATGAGGCAGATGCGCACCTGAGTCCAGGCCTCCGGAATGGGGGCCCCCTCCAGCACCGAGTTCCATATATCGGCAAGGGCAACAAAGAACTCGAGAGGAAGTGCACGCCAAAGTCGACCAGACCAGTCGTCACAACCGGCCGCCTTGCGCGCCGACGCCTTGGCCCTCCGATACAAAACGTCACCGCAAACACGAACTGCAGGAGCTGCCGCAAAAGGAAGCCGGAGCTGAGCGATAAGCTCACGAAGTCGAGTATCAGCAGGACGCCCGTCACAGGTTGCCCCACACCTTGGTTGCCTGCTCCGCCTTGGCTTGAGGGTCCGGGTCCACAGCAAAGTTGGCCATAGCGGTGGGAGGCTCCGCCAGCGAGGCCTTGACCCAGCGCGAGAGCCGTGGGATGTCCGTTTTCACCTGCTCCTTCCAGCCTGCCAGTCGGGCCTGGTTGGCCCGCGTCTCCTCCCTCGGCGGCGTGTTGCAAGAAAGCCAGCAGCTCGTCGTCGTGGTAGTGGAGGAGGTCGGTGAGGTCTGGGTAGGCCGCCACGATGTGGTGAAGGCAGCGCAAGAGCTTGCCCTTCTCGTCGACGGTCAGTATGCCAGCGCGTTCTTTCCTGAGCACCTCCATGAGGCGGCGGGCTGCCCGGCGAAGCTTCCGCTCCTTCAGTGTCTGCACCGTGGGTGGTTTGACAAGCAAGGGCCGCCCTGGTTCACCCCGGGGCCGCGCACGCCGGCTGTCCTGGGCCAGCGCATCCTCAGCCGTGGCGGAGAGAAGCTTCCAAGCTGCCTCGGTGTTGCCCGCGTCGAGGAGCACCGTAAACTCGTCCGCGACGTCGGCCCACAACTTGTTCCAGTCAAAGATAGCCTCGCCATCAAGCAAGCGTCGAGGTTGCCAGCGCCAGCCGCGCCGAGTGCCTTTGAGCGGGATGTCGTAGGCCACGAGGTCGTGGTCGGCAGGTCCCAGCCGCTGGAGCCGGGAGGCCGAGCCAATGCCCACCGAAGAGATACCATAGTCAATGGTCTTGCCCGTGTACACGCCGTTCTCCATACGATGGGTGCCCAGGTCGTTGAAGAAAGGGTCAGGGTCAAGGGCGTAGATGGTGCCGGAGGCCAGGAGGTTGCCAAGAGGCTGCTGCTTGGGCTCTCGGTTCCAATCAGCCATGATGATGCAGTCCTCGCCTGTACTCGTCGCCCACTCCACCAGAGAACTGCACAAGCGCTGGTTCAGCGGGTCGTCGTTGGCAGGGAGGTAGCCGTTGATGACCAACAAGTGGCGTTGTCGCGGCCTGTGGGCCTTGACGGCCATGATGCGGTGCGGGAAGGTCTCTGCCAGCAGAATGGTCACGAGCTCCACCGGCCAGTCCGTCACAATAGCCACCCCACCGTCAGGCTTGCCCTGAGCGTCCAGCTGAAAGGATGAAGCGCCAGCCCTTGGCCTTGAAGGCCTGGCGGAGAGCGTGGATGCCCTCGAGCTTGGTCTCCTGGAGGCAGAGGATGTGTAAGCGGGCGTCCGCCGCCATGTCCATGATAGCCCGTACGGCCCGCCATAGTGCGAACATTGCAAGTGCCCACCCTCAGCAGGGAGTCAGGCATGTTGCCCAAGGCCCCGCGCCAACTCAGTCCTCTCATCGTCCTTGACGCTGCCCTTCTCGTGCAAATAGCCCAGGGCGGTGGTGGCCGTCGCCCCCACCACTCCAGGATGCCCAGCCAACTGCCGCAAGTTGGCCGCCTCACGGTATCTCACTCTGGTCGCAGGCGGGTCGCAGGTCTTGCCCTCAGCTTCACCCAGCTTGGTCCATATGCCACCGCAGGCCGAGCAAACGAACTTGACGGTGAAGTCCTTGGGGCTCACCGGCCATGCGAGCGCTCTGAGCTTGTGCTCCTGCAGGGGCTGGTCGTCCTCCGCCTCAAAGATTTCGAGCACTCGCTTGATTCCGTCACGAACGTCTTGCTGCAAGCTGTTGCGCCTGCCGCCAACCACAAGCCTGCGTGGGTGCTCCGCCATCTCCTTGGGAGTCTGGGCGACGCGCTTGCGCTTCCTGCAAACGATCTTGGTGTTGGCGCGCCGTCGCTTGCCTTGCTTGCTGACACAGATGACATCGTGATCCCCGGCCTCGCCCGCCTTGAACTGCTGGATGCGCCTTGCCGCCCCAGCGCTAAGCTTTGCCACCGTTGCCTTGCGCGCCCCACTAGCCGAGCCAGTCTTGAGCAAGAAGAGCTTGGTCGGCTGGTCCGGGTGGTCCTGCGCTGCATGCGCGCGCCTCGCGCGCAGCCTGGCGTCTGTGTTGGACTCCGCAAGCGGAAGCCCCAGATTGCAACCCGGGACCGGGCACCTCCAACAGCAGGTCTCGGCAGAGTACGGGACCATCTGAATGACCCCATGTCTCAGGTTGAGCTCCTGCTTGATGTCCGGGTGAAAATTTGCAATGTGCGCCGCCTTTTTCTGTGGGCAGAGTCGCGAGCGTCCAGTGTCCCAGCCACACTCAGGGCAGCGCCAAGAAGCGTGCTTGGCCCGCAACTTCAGCCCGCGCCCCTTCCTGACCTCGGCCGGCTGTGGTGGGTCATCCACGGGGTCCTCCGCAGTGATCAGGGTCTCCGAGAGGTCGGCGATGGAAGCCGAGGCGGCCGACCGTCGTCCTGTAAAGGCCTCCGAACCAGCCCTGCACGCAGTGTGGTGAACCAGTCCTTGAGCGTGGTGCCCTTGGGGAGGGAGCGCGCTGTAGCCTGGTCGATGCCGGTGAGCTTGTCCGCATCATCGTCCTCCACGATGCCGCCGTGCTCGGCCCGGGCTCTTCAAGGGCTGGGGAGAGTGCAAAGCCAGAAGAACCAGAAGAAGGCAACCCCGAAGAACAAGGAAAGAGGGCCTCGCCGCTCCCCAAAGAGGCCGCAATGCCCCCCTTGCCAGACGTCAGGCGCCCGCCGCCAAGGTCCTTCACATCCGGTGCCGCCAAAGTGCCCGCCGAAGTCTTGCCCACGTTGTCGACGACCATGGAAGAAAAGACGGTGGCCTCCGAGCGGGCTTCCACCAACTGCCTGCCGCCAGTACCGCCAAAGCACGTGAACATCGTGGCCTCCGACTGCTCGTCAGCCTCTCGTCCTGCACCACCGCCAAAGCCTGGACCGCCTCTGGCAGCTCATTGCCCTCCACAGGCCTGAGCCAGTCGAAGTGCCCCGGCTTGTCCGTGAACCAAAGCGCGATCTTGTCCTTGGCCCCGTCGTTATAGGCCGCCGCCGTGATGTCCAAAGGCGCCGGAATGACATAGACCGCGATCTTGTAGGTCTTGGCCGCCGCGTACGCCTCCAGGCTGCCCGCCCAAACGCCGGTGGACTCCATGTGTTTCACGTAGGCCTCGAAGTCGCCCAAAGGCTGGTCGAAGGAATCTTTGCCGTCCCACATGGCAGCGTAGACCGCACTGTGTTTGCGCATGTGTGCGCACACCTCGGCCCTAACTCTGGCCGGCGGCAAAGCTGGTGAGCCGCGAAGCCGCCCCAGGGCACAGCCCACGACGGTGTAGAAGCAGTTGCCGTCGCCATCCACCTTGTCAATCGTCGTGCCGTCCGGCACCGCACGGTGCTTGCGATTGACTGCCGGCTTTTTAGTCGGCGGCTCCTCCCCATCGCCAGCGGAGGTTCCCACCGCAGGCTTGTCCGCGCCATTGTCGGCCTTCACGTCGACCGCGCGGTCAAAGACGAAAGCGCCCTTCTCCCGAATGGGCTTTGACGCCCACACCTGCTCACCCCGCACCGGCAACAACCAGTAGGTGTGGGTAGCCTCGCCATCCGCGACCTGGAGCATGTGGCAGCCGTCCTCCACAGGAGACCGTGCCTTGAGGAACCAAGTGGTCTTGCCATTCCGAGTCAACCTGCGATGCACAGACACCTGCTGCAACTGGGTCTGGTCCGCAATGAGCTCCTTCACGAGGTCGTCGGACCAGGTTGCAGGGGTGTTCTTGAGCGAAAAGAACCTGATGCGGTTGTCCTGTTAGGCCTCGTCCGCCTCGACCCGCGTGCCAACTTGCCTCTTGCCCAGGAAAATGCCAAATTTCGGCTTGGCCGCCTTAGCCCTCGCAACCGCCTGGCCAACAGTCTCGCCCTCCTTGGTCTCCAGCCACTCGATGCCACATTTGACCAAGTTGTCCCTGCCCGCTGGCTCGATGAAGACGCCGTCGCCCTCCGAAGCCTTCAAGGCCTCCTCCACCCACACGGCCGGGACTCGGATGAGCCCAACCACTGCCTCAAGTCCAGCTCGGGCCTCCTTCGCGAAGCCCAGGCATCCTTCACAAAAGAGTCGGAACCAGGCCTCCCTGCCCCACTTCTGCACCGCGGCCCTGGGTGCACGCCCGACCGCGCTCCACGCCTCTTTGGAAATGAGGTCCTTGGCGAAGACGATCCTCATCACAGACGTGGACGTAGAGGCCGGGACCTTCTTAGGAGCGCTTGGAGCCCCCCTTGATGGTGGGCAACGCGGTGCCTGCGGTGACATAGTCGCGATGCGCAAAGGTCTGGACCAAGACGCCCTCCGCAGTGACCACAGGAGCTGTAACCCCACCGTCATTGTCCGGCCAAAGAAGCCTGGCCGTGCACTTCGACCCGGCACCCATCTGCGACAAAGCATCGGCCTGCTCAGCGTCCGCCACTGGAACGACCACCGATCCACTCAGGCTATTGAGCTGCGCACAGGCCTTGTCGTAGTCAATGACAGTTCCCTGCCAGTCCTGCTGCCGGAACTTGCCTGGAGCGCGCTGTCCACTCCCGCCCTTGCCATCCGGCCGCTTGCCCTTGCCGTCGTGCTTGCTCGGCGCCTTCTTTCTGTCGCCTCCACCCTTCGCAGCACCTTTGCCCTGTCCATCGCCCCGGGAGTCGCTGCCACCCTTGACGCCCACCTGCTTGCCCTTGGCATTGCCCTTGTCCGCCTTGCCGCCCTTGCCGCCGCCTGGCTTAGTGGGCAACGGTCGCAAAGGTCCGGGAGCCTCAAAAGTCTGGACCGCCGGCTCGTTGTCGAAGGTAACATGCCTCCACGGCGGCGGCTGGTACTCCTCCTCAATGTGGTCCTCCTCCGGCTCCTCGCGAAGGACCTCCAAAAGGGTCCGTATGCCCGCCATCTGTGCCCTTGCCGGGTGATCCGCCCCGGCAATGCCCCCAATCATGGCGACCAACATCTCGATGATCGCGACGAGGGCCTGCTGCACCTTGCGCTCATGCCGCCTGTTGCTCGTGGCTGCGGCTCCACCTCCAGGGCCTGGGTGAGAAGCCTCACCGACCCGCACCCCACGAAGTCCAAGAGGCCAAGCCGGTCTCATGCACCACCACCGTTGTTCGCCCCCAGAGTCTCCTCCCGGATCAGGAGGGTCGCCGAAAGGGCGGCCAATGTAGCCAAAGTCCTCGAGGTCGAAGCTGCCGACAAGCAGGCCACCACCGAGGAACACAAGCGCCTCATACTCAAAATCGCCCTCCTGCGCAAGGCCACCGCCACCACCTTCCAGGACGTGGGGGTAGCCAATGCCAAAACCGAGGAGCACGCAAAAGGGGCCGAGGAACAGCGAGCCACCCTCGCAGCCCACAAGGGCGAGGTGGTAGCCCTGAATGCCCCCGAACGAGCCATCAAAGAAAAACCAAAACTGGATCGGGCTGTGAAGGCCCTGCTCTCCATCAACACGGCTTCCTGGTACCGACTCCCTCTGCTGCAACCGCAACCGTAATGTCTCCCCCAATCGCTCCACCTGTGAACACTTCGTCTGGGCCCCAAGCACCGGGCCCGCCGCGGCCACCGAGATCCCCAGGAAGATCAGGAGGTGGTTCACATAGCCGCTTAGATATAAGGACCTACAATTATAGAATAGTGCTTTGATAGCATTTTGGGGCATATACTATTGCACTGAAGGATTCTACAACAGACCCATTAAGTGGCAATCCTGCTTGAGAGGCACATTTGACCGGTGGATGCGCAAGCATCTGCGGCGCTTGAATCTCAGCTTGCGACGGTCCAGCACAGGACCCAGCATGGGTCCCAGCACAGGTCCCAGCACAGGGCCCAGCACAGGGCGGGCCAGCATCATGCGGCGGGTTAGCTTCGCTGCCTAAATTTTTGGATGGGTTGTTCATATTATTGAAAGGCTGTGCCTTTGGCGCTCAGCGTTACAGACAAAGCAAGCCAGTTTTGATAGTTTCCAGAGACTGAGTGGGCCCCGTAATGATAAGGCTTACGGTTGTAGGGTTTGGGGATCTGACACCTCACTTTCGGAAGTTCCCATTTTGAACAACCCCTGTACCGTACAGATTTGGAAGCACTGGCCGTTCGAGAAATCCGGTTGCAGTGCATCTTTGCCGGTAGGAAGCGTAGGCCTGCCAAGCAGGGCCTGCATCCAGATGGGTGCTTGTCAAAATCGTTGTAGGAAAATGCGTGTAGTCCTTAAGAGCGGTTTAGGGCCTAGGCTTAGGTTTAGGGTTTTGGGTTTAGGGTTTAAGGTTTAGGGTTAAGGGTCTAGGGACGACGGAGGATGAAGCTGGTGTTTCCACCGGCCACTTCAAATCCAGTTCCCAAGTTGAGCGAACCTGGGCGGGGTTTAGGGTTTACGGAAGGTGCGTACGCCTGGGGTGACTACCAGTTTCTCAGGAAGCACAAAAGCCGCTTGCGGCAAAAACATCACAAACCCTAAACCTTAAACCCTCAAACTCTATGCCCTAAACCCTATACCCTTAAGCCTATATACCCTAAGCCCTATACCCTAAACCCAAACCCTGAACCCTCAAATAAGGCCTTTTGACAATCTCCCAGATGGCAGCCAAAGCTGCATGCTGCAATTCGAAGCCATTCTGGGTTGCGCAGAGCCCTTCAGATGTTGCCGGCTTCGCCTACTCTGTTTGAGTGTCTGGGTCCCGAAGCATGCATAAGCTCCAACTCCTACTGCTATTGGGCAAAAATCTTGCATGACCCTGTATACCCAAACCCTAACAAGTGTGGTAAATTAAACCCTAATTCCTGAAAACGCTGAGCCCTGTTAGTAGCTTAACCCTAGTTCGAGTGATGGGGTGGCCGAAAGTCTCGTATATTATCAAGCACTCTGACGCCCATACTTACTGCAAGGGTTAAGCGTTTAGGGCCTAGGGTTTAGGGTATTATTGATTGAGCTGAAAATGTCCCGGCAACACCCAACCATGCCAACTTTGTGTAATCATATATGAGGGTGGTGACTCAGATCCTGAAGTCATTCCCAGCAACTATGAACCAAAAGGTCCCCGATTCAAAAAAAACAATAGATTTTGAACCCGTGGGGGAATTTAGCCTTTGTCAGGGTGTACCAGCACCTAGGCGCTCAATGTACATATTTGGTTCTATTTGGTTAGGCTGTAGGTTTCAGAGTTTAGGGTGTATAGTCCCCCTTTACTAGATAGAATATGGCTTTGGGTATTTTATAATAGGATCCCCATATACCCCCCATTCTATCTACTTAAGGGGGGCCTATCTTTCTGGGCCGGTTGTAGAAGGGGCATCTCCGATGTTGGGATCTGTTCTTGGAGGTCCGGATCGTGATGAATCTTCTTGCTGACGAATAATCCCCTCCCCCTAATGTGAAACCTCCCCACCATCCCTACCACTAAATACTCCCCATTGTGGTGTATCATAGTATATTGGGCATAGTTAATATTAGGGGGATGGGAGTTTGATTTTGGGGGATGGGATTAGATGATGGGTGGCTCTAAATCCTAAACCTTCAAACCCAGAATAAATGAAATTCGTAATTATAGGGATCAAATGCCAAGCGCAAAGCCTGGTCAAACGCCTGGCTCCAAACTTCGCCCAACACCCAGGACATGAACCTTAGATATACCTTTTCTATAAATCCTAAACCCTAGACCGTCACCACACCGGGCCATGAACCCAAGCTTCCCTAAGTTGGAGGACCCAGGTAGGCCAATGCATGTGCTCTGTACCTTCATGCCAGAAAGACTACAGGGTCCAGGGTGTAGCTGTGAGGGGTTTGCGGGCTTAGTGGGTTAGGGGTTCAGGGGTGTAGGGTTTAGGGTTTAGGGTGTAGGGCTTAGTGTTCAGGGTGCAGGGGTTTAGGGGGTGTAGGGTTTAGGGCTTAGGGACAGTGGGTTCCTATGTAAGGGCTTCCACAATTGGGGTCAGCTGGGGGAGCCTTTGAAAGAAAGGGTTGGATAGGGATTCTCATTTCTGGAAAATCCCGTGTAAAGGTTTCCAACATGGTGCCCATAGGACCCTAAATCCTAGATCCCAAACCCTAAACCCTGAACCCTATCCCAAACCCTAAATCCTAAACCCTAAGTCCTGAACCCTAAGCTGTAAACCGTATTGTACGCTCCCGATCAAAGCTTGGAAGATCCCTCATTTTGCAAAGATTTAACCAAAACAATTGGGGGTCCCTATGAAAGGGACTACAGTATTTTGGGGTCTTTACTGGAGTCCCCCTATTTATGGAATCTACCGTAAATGCAGTCGTCAGCATTACGAACGAGCCTACGCCCACTTATATACCTGTGCCGTTCCGCTGAAGCGCCTTAAAGTGCCAAGCATAGAGAAGGACAGCGTTTGTTAACATGCCCATCTCAATATGAGGCGAACTCCAGACGGAATGGTAGGTACACATGTCTTGCTACACCCGGCTCAAGCCAGCTGTCTTGCCGCCAGCTTCCAATGACGAGAGAGGCTGAGTTTTATCATGAGTGCCGCTATCTTTGGGATTCAGAGTTACGGCTGAGAAGCGTGTCCATCATTTCTAGCAGTCGTATTCCTGCTGCAGGACTATTTGTATTGTAGACTGTAGTTACCTGAAGCCTAGTCCGTAGGCCCCAAACCCTGAAGCCCCATCTTTGCAGTCTCTGAGCACTCATACAAAAGCTAGAGTTGACTTGCTCTGCTTAGGAGCAGGGCTATGATAAGGAGCTGGGCGTTGGAGCGTGGTCGTTGCGATGCGCGCGTTGAATCCCTGCAGTGTTGCGCGATGCACGTGTTGGAGACTAAATCCCTAATCATTGAACCCTACGCATGCCGGTCAGGAATGCAGTTTCGACTGGCGGGGCTTGCTGGGCGCCCCGAGGATAATGAGAGTGCGCGTTGTCAGTTGCTGGCTACAGTTTGATGTCATATTGCAAGGGATAGTTCCCTTGTAAGATTCTTGGCGCACTCCGTATGTGGGTTCTGCTAACAACCCCCATACTACCCCCCCAGGTTCTCCCCTTAATTAGTTGAGGGTATTTGCGGACACTCAATGAACTGACGGTGTACGTGCCGTTCATGGTTTTCGTGCAGGGGGCCTTGCAGTGATGAGGTGCTGCAACAGAGTTATCGACGATTCGAAGACGAAGTGAGCGCATCTTTTGGCCTCGCTCATGGTTATATAGGGGTTATTTTGGGGATATACAGGGGTAATGGAACGCAAAATCGAAACCATTATCTCGGGGGCAAGCAGGGATTTAGGCTTAATAATTCTCTTGGTTGTATGGCAGCTGATTGTCAAGGCTATTCTGTAGCGTACCTGCACGGACTTTGGTCCTCGTCACTCTTTCGCCTGTGTACTTTGAACAGAATCACATATTCACAGTAGTTGTGGTTCTAGAGGACTTATCGTGAAACCCTGGAGGACCCAACGAAATAATCAAGATGCAGACGATGAGCACGACGGCAGCGTGACGCTTGCCTATGCAGGAGCTTTGAATTGAAGAGGAGCTAGATAACGGCTATAACAGGATTGCAGCGGTTCCTTTGGAAGATCACTACAACTACGGCCAGAAACAGATTATACTTCCAAGGGCAGTCTGTTTTTGGCCTCAACTTGATGATTCCTTACAGGGCGGTCCATCCCCTCTTCTTGTCCCCCCCGCAAGTCTGGGATAGTAGGGAAAGGAAAGGAAAGGAAACAGGAATTACTGGAGGCTTCAAGGTTTCTTGTTGTTGGAAGTTCAAGACCTCAATCTCTCCGTCTCGTCGTAGTCTTCAGGTTATCTTGCCTCTGGGCTCTGCAAACACCTTCATAATCCTACTGTGCGATTTCATGATTTTTTGGCAGAGATACAAGGTTTTTCATTCAAAACATCTAAGCCCCATGAAGTCCCCTAAGTTTCTCAACCACAAAGTCATCCATTCCAGTCATGCGGTTGGTGGACAAATCCTGTCTGGCCTCACGCGGTTTAGGGGTTTAGGGTTTCTGCAGCACCATACTTCCCAGAGGTCCAGGTATTCAAGTCACAGGGTCACGTAGTAGGATTTCGTCGACGAAAAGTGAGGCGCCCCGCTGAGTCGAGCTGTGAGGAGGAGTGTCTGAAAGCTGCAAATGGAGACGTGGATCTGTGCCAGGAGTACCTTGAACGCCAGTAGACTATAATTTTAGTGAACTGTTGCCAGTTTTTAAGGTATAGTAGCCCATTCTTTTAGGTAACTTGGCTTTCCAGGTAGGGTTTAGGGTTAACCCTGATAGTTTTTGAGGTTTGGGCGTCGGGGTTAAGCCCCTACCCCCCGCACACACTGACCACCCCGAAAAAGTATGGCGCCATCGTACTTTTGGGGTTGTCCTTAAGGGGCGTGGGGGAGTTTATTAGTAGCAGGCGGTGATTAGCACCTGAACCCTAAGCCACTAAACCCAAAACCCCAAACCCTAAACCCCTAACGCCCCCAAACCCTAAACCCCTAAAACCCCATAAAACCACATAAAGCCATATAAAACCCCTAAAGCCCTTAAAACCCACAAAGCCCCTAAACCCATGAAACTCATAAAACCCATAAAGCCCCTAAAACACCTAAATCCTTAAACCCCCTACACACTAAACCCTAAACCCAAAGACCACTAAACAACAAAAACACCAAAAGCCCCAAAACCGTTTAGTTCAGAGTTCAGAGCTACACCATAGGGGTACTGGTCGAGGGATGGAGGGGGCTAGGGTTTAGGGCTTAGGGATTTAGGGTTTAGGGGGTTTAGGGACAGGGTTTAAAGGATTGGGGGTTAGATGCAAATGGGTTTAGGGCCTTGGCATAAACTGTCTTGGCATTCAGAATTAGACCCCTGGTACGGTTTTCTTCTTCGGCTGCGCGAGTGGTATC